CCAGCAGTGGAGGAGTGTTCCTCTTTCTCTGCATCCTCTCCAGCATAAACTGTCATTGGTGTTTTTGATTTTGGCCATTCTGACAGGAGTAAGATGGTATCTCAGAGTTGTTTTGATTCGCATTTCCCTGATGGCTAAGGATGTTGAACATTTTCTTATATGTCTTTCAGCCATTTTAGATTCCTCTATTGAGAATTGTCTATTAAGTTCTGTACCCCACTTTTTAATTGGATTGTTTGGTATTTTTGAGACTAGCTTCTTGAGTTTTTTGTATATTTTGGAGATCAGCCCTCTGTCAGATGTGGAGTTGGTGAATATCTTTTTCCAGTCTGAGGGCTTTCGTTTTGTCTTGCTGACTGTGTCCTTTGCTTTATAGAAGCTTCTGAGTTTCAAGAGGTCTCATTTATCAATTGTTGATCTCAGTGTCTGTGCTATTGGTGTAATGTTCAGGAAGCAGTCTCCTGTACCAATTAATTCAAAAGTATTTCCCACTTTGTCTTCTAATAGGTTTAGTGTGGCTGGATTTATGTTGAGGTCTTTGATCCATTTTGACTTAAGTTTTGTGCATGGTGATATACTTGCATCTATCTGCAGTCTTCTACATGCCTGCATCCAGTTATGCCAGCACCATTTGTTAAAGATGTTCTCTTTATTCCATCTAATAAATTTAGATTATTTGTCAAAAATCAGGTGTTTGTAGGTGTGTGGGTTAATATCAGGGTTTTCAACTCCATTCCATTGGTCTACCTGTCTATTTTTGTCTACGGCCATACCACCCTGAACTCACCAGATCTCGTCTCAATACTGCAGTTTATAACATAGGATTGTCAGGAGTCTGAGCTGAGGTGACACTGCATGATGTGATGGTGGTGGAGTGCTGTCTGAAAGTCACATATATGACATAGGAGACACTGCCAAAATACCCAGACTCATTTCATGCTTTAACTGAATTTGGTTGCTGCACATTGAGAAAGCTCTGTTGTCAGTTCTTTGTAACCTCACATCTGAAGACCTATGGTTTAGGAAAGTCGAATTAGGGGTTGCCCAAGTACAGCTTGGCCCTAGCTCCTGCCCACCCTCTGATCTGTGATATGAGCAATCACCTGTCATGGTTCCTTCCCTACCGCAATGGCCAATTTCTGTAAACGGGAACTAAATAATTCCTCCCTGAAGTTGCTTCCTGTCAGGAACTCAGTCACAGTAGTGAGAACAGTAGCCAGTGCAGGGCAGAAGGTGCACTGAGACTCAGATCAGGGATGTAGATGGGAATCCAGAGGACCCCAGATCACCTACAGGATCAAATTCAAGTATTCGGTCACAGTGTCCACTGGACAGTGATCTGGAAAAGCAGCCAAAATGGCAAACCAAGAAGGGAGACTGATCACCCCTCCTCCCTAGAGAAGCAGCCAGTCTCTGGAAATGCCAACTGCTCAGAAGCCTACCAGGTGTTTACCTCTCTTCCCCTTAAATATAAAAATAACCCAGCAACTTTTAAACGTCAAAAGAGAGAAACGAAGCCATCCATTATTTCAATTGTGATGTCATGGCCACTGTAACTTTTTGACTGAGCTATCAGGCCTGGCCTCTTGGCTCTCTGTTCTGCAGGTTTCTTTATTTTAACCTTATTGTTCAAGTGCTTTCCCTAGGATGCAGCAAGAAAACCCTGCAATGCAACCAGAATGCTGTCAGAGAATTCTAGAAGGGCAATGTTCCATCTTCTGAAGGGTTCTCCCACCACCACTGCAATGATTTGTACAGTTCTGCTGTGAGTGTGTACATTTCTGTAGAGTTAATGGTTGTCTGGTCTTACCTTAGCATCTTGAAGCAGTTCACACTCCAAAGGGTTAGCTAAGCTTTTATTTAGGACTGGTGTGGTCAGTTAATGGTGTCTTACTGAACTTGACAGGTTTGGGATGTGTTGGCATCAGGAGGTAGCACACAGACTGTCAGGTCCTTTTGAGTTATGCATATACACACCTGTAAATGCAGGCTTTCTTTCTAATATATGTTAGAGTATATTCTATGTATATATTACTATATAATTATTTACATTAATATTTATGTATTATATATATTCTGATATTGCATAGCTGCCAGCACAGAGCTGAGAAGCAATTCACCTTTTCTCTGCTCTCTGCATACTTTCTCTCATCACACATTATACTAAATGATGTTGGAAGCATCTAATCCAATTCTAGATTCAGTATTAAGAAATCCACTATTGTTTATCCCAATGCCATGTTCCCAGTATCAACTTACTGCTAACAAGAAGGTATTTCATCTGCCTTGCATGACTCATTTCTCTTTTTTTAAAGATTTTATTTATTTATTATGCATACAACATTCTGCTTCCATGTATATCTGCACACCAGAAGAGGGCACCAGATCTCATAATGGATG